ATGTTGTCATTGGCTTGTTATAGCGGGAATACCTATAACATAATAATATCTTTGACATATATATATACAATATAGTTACATTATAACAAGGAATCATTAACGTGACAATCCCGAATGAAAAAAAAAATATATATACATATATTTTTTTTTTAATTTGTTATCTAACCATTTTAAATGCATGATTAATTTATATCTGGACAAAGACTTGTATTAATTTTTTTCGCCATTTTTAAGCGAACTTATTGTTTATGCGCGAGATGAATATCGTGGGAGAAAGTTGTGCGTAAAAAACACAGTTGTGATATACATATGATTAAAGCTATTTAGAGTACAATACATTCTACAAATCTAGAAGAAGACGAAAAAATGAAGAAGAATACTCGAAAGTTTGGTATATAGCCGGTGTAAATGTAAGACGAACTATTTTTGTTAGTCTCCGTTTATATATATGTACGTTATCTTAATCGCTTCGTAACTTTAAAGGCATCGGTCTCGGACATAGAAGAAAAACCAGAACATTTTTGGAAACTTCCTGTTGCATTATCTTGATTACTGTTTGTAAAGATATAAGTTTGAAAATATGTTGCGAATAATAAAAAACAATAATAGAAAACAAATCAATGAAAGAAAGCCAGGCATGATAACTATACAATAATTATTTTATACAATGTAATAGAATACAGACTGTTAGCTAATTAAATCTCAAGAGTTTTCAATAAAATTTGATTGACTCAACGGGAATTAAACTTAAGATTTTATTGTTAAATAATAATGATTTTTTATGAAGCAAAATTTCAATTGAATTTATGTCAAAAGGTTTATTGTTAGAAACATATTGATTATATCGGAATATCCGAATTTAAAAATTTTTGAATCTCTTTTTTATTCATGATGGCGTATTTTGTTCTGAAAATTGGAGGAATTTTAAAAATAATTTAATTTTATATAAAGGAATTTTAAAATTAATTTAATTTTATATCTTCAAATAATTTTGAAAATTATATATCGTTAACGACAAATATAATATACAAAATTAAATAATTAAATTAATGAATTGAAATGTAAATGAAATAAAATAATAGAAGAAAGAAAATAATAGAAAAGAAATATATATATATATATATATATATATATATACATATATATATATATATATATATATATATATACACATATATA